TCGGAATTACCAGAAGACCCAACTGTTCTGAAGGAACTTTTTCAAAAAATGGTCGGAAGTCCATTTTTTTTTTTGAAATCACTATTCACGCCGAAAAATAAAAAAGTGGTCGGAATTTGGTGTAACCTGGANAAACAATCTGTCCTGAAGAGTCGTCGCCAAAAAATGGCCGGAAGGTGGCCCACGCAACGTTGGAACTTCGCTGGAAAATTTTCTTTGGACAGCTACAGTACCGCCGGAGATTTTCACTGGGATTTGGTCGCCGGACAGTGACTACTCTTGTGGTAGTGTTGGATTTTGTGCACAACACTGACCGAGACAAAGCAGACGCAAAACAACTTTGAAAGTCGCCGGAAAAAAGGGTTCTGGTGACTGATTTTACTTCCCGGAATCGCTGGAATTTATGCACAGCGATAAATCTCTCACGATAGCTCTGATACCGTATGAGAAGGCACGGGAGAAAATATGATATATGTTGATATATTGTATGTGATGCAATACAAGAGGTGCTATTTATAGCTACTCTATACAAAGAGGATACTACTATTCCAATGTGGGACAATTACATAGCTATCTCTAACACGTCCTGACACGGAACTTACACTCCAAGTATTCTGTTTTTGTCCTGCTCAACTTGAAACATTTAGACTCCAGGGTCTGTCGCCACAACACCAGCTTAGCATTAACCCCGTCGCGCGTCTCGTCAATAAGCACTATATCATATGCAAATAACATACACATGGCATTCCCCCCCGGATGTTACACGTCAGCACATCCATCGCTAGGGCAAATAAAATTGGGCTACTTTGATCAAGATGCAATCCCTCCACTTGAAAATAATCTGAATCACCACCCACGGTCCTCACCCGAGTCTTAGCTCTATCGTACATGTCCTCAATCACCCTAATGAACATTATTGGAACGTCGCTAACCTCCAAACATCTCCATAGAACCTCCTTAGGGACTTTGTCGCATGCTTTTTCTAACTCAATGAACACCATATGCAAGTCCTTCTTCCTCTCCCTATATTGTTCCACCAACCTCCTCACAAGATGGATGGCTTCTGTAGTCGACCGCCCCAGCATGAATCCGAACTGATTCTCCGAAATAGACACACTCCTTCTCACCCTCCTCTCCACTACCCTCTCCCAAATTGTCATGGTGTGACTCAGCAGCTTGATACCCCTATAGTTGGTGCAATTCTGGACAACACCCTTGTTCTTGTACAATGAGACCATCACACTCCACCTCCATTCTTCAGGCATTCGCTTTGTCCTAAAAATGACATTAAACAATCCAGTAAGCCACTAAGCCACTCCAAGCCTGCCCGGCCTACGTCCTTCCAAAATTCCACCAAAATCCCGTCTGGTCCGGTCGTCCAACCCCTACTCATCTTCCGCATGGCCTCCTCAACTTCTCCAATCTTAATACGCCTACAAAACCTTAAATCTCGCTGGCTTTCTGAGTTCTCCAACTCCCCGAGCACAATGCTCTTGTCCCCATCCTCGTTCAGGAGTCTATGGAAGTATGTCCGTCACCTGCGCCTAATACATGCCTCTTCCACCAACATATATACACATATACATATACATATACATATATATAAAATAATAAAGTAAAGTTCATTGCCTATAAGTTTTTGCAAAGCACCACTAAAATAGAACAGAAAGGCATTGACAGCATGATGTTTGGAGAGGGTACTAAGCAGCACAGAAATGACAGTTTTTGCAGTAAAGATACTACTCCTTCTGTTTCATTTTATGACCCTAATTGATTGGGCACGGGGTTTAAGAAAGAAATGAAGACTTTTAAAACTTGTTGTATTAAACATGCCAAAACATTTGTGCGGCTATAAGGCTTTTGAAACTTGTGGTTTTAAACATGCCATAACATTTGTGTGGCTATAAAAGATTCTCGTTACGGGTAAAATGAGAAAATTAAAAGTGGACATGTTCTTTAAACAGACTAAAGAGAAATAGGGTCACATAAACTGGAGAGATCAATGGGGGAGTAATAACTAAGATAAACATAGCAAAGAAGTTGTACTATGCATAAACAGAAACATACATTTGTCTAGACACTAGATATATAAATGAGTAGAGGAGGTAATTATACCACTCTCTGCAGCTTCCGTAAGTTGGGGTTTCTCCTTAAAGGTCCATAACCAAGAAGCTGCGGAATTTTCCTCTTCATAAAGCGTATCACCCAATACAATACATAGCCATATATTGCAGTTCTAATCAAGAACCAGAGATACCACTGCAATTCATCTGTTTTTCTTGATCTGAAACTCATTTCAGCCTCAGATTGCCATTTCAAGTACCAAGTTGAGGCAACAGATTGATCGACATACTCTGGCCAAGCCATACCCAGCCGCATCCTCACCTACACCACAACAGCAAGAGACTGCTTTGAAAACACGGTTAATAAACAAGAAGGAAGATTAAACAATCAACAGGGTCAAGTTGAAAGCTATATAAATACCCGATAAGGGATGACAAATTCCACAGTAGGGAAAACAATCATCATCATGATGTCATCATTTATGTTTCTAACTTTCTCCACAATCCAGTCTCTTCCGCGAGAAACAATTCTCAGAGTCCACAATCCATTTAGACATTGAAGACAGAGTCTTGTGACCAAGAGAAATTGTTGGCGGAAGTCCAGTTCTGAGAAAGGAATCCACATCAGCTGAACCACAGTTGGGATACCTGAAGCAAGCATTCTCAGGTACAAGGCATCAAAACCTCCAAAATCTTCATAAATCATATCATATTCCTGGAATAAAAATGATGAGGTTAAAAACCAATGACAGATATTTACATCAGAAAGAGAAATCACTGCAGATAGAGCATCATACCTTGATATCAACATAATACTCTTTGTCATCTCCCTTCAACATAACATACATGGCAGCCCAGTCATGTCTGATTCTAGCACTCTCAAGAAGCTTCTTGGACACAGCATAGGGAACAGCCACAGGATCCATCTCCCACCTATTTCTTTCTTCATTGTACCATGATTTTGCCACCACTCTATCCCGATCCAGGAGGATCCTTTCCTATAATAAGCATTTGAAAATAATTATTAAAAAAATTCCACCTTACGAGAGGGCATGGTATCTTGCACTAAGACAAGCAATGAGCAACAACAACAACAAAAAACAAACAAACCCAGTGAAATCCCACAAGTGGGATCTGGGAAGGGTAGAGTGCATGCAGACCTTACATCTACCTTTGTGAGGGTAAAGAGGTTGTTTCCGATAGATCCTCCGCACGAGAAAATATGAGAAAAAAGCAATATCAGCAAGCAATACCAACAACATGATAATAGATAAATCGAAGCGAAAGAGGCAAGACTAGGGATAGTATTAAAAAACCAGAACATGTGGTAATAGAAAACTAAGCATAAGGGAATACAAGATCAATAATGCTAATGGTATGGCAAAGAAAAACGCTCAACTATCTACTAACCTTCTGCCCTAATCCTCGACCTTTACACCCTCCTACCAAGGGTCATGTCCTCGGTTAACTGAAGTTGCGCCAAGTCCTACCTAATCACCTCCTCCCACAACTTATTTGGCCTACCTCTACCTCTGCTTATACCCGCCACGACCAACTTCTCGCATCTACTAACTAGGGCAGTTGTGTCCCCTCTGTTCACATGCCTGAACTATCTCAACCTCACTTCCCGCATCTTGTCCTCCATGGAGACCACTCACATCTTGTCCTCAATATCTTCTTTCCTAATTTTATCTCTCCTAGTATGCCCACACATCCATCTCACCATTCTCATTTCTACCACTTTCATCTTCTAGAAGTGGAATTTCTTTACACGCCAACACTCTACCCCATACAACATAGTCGATCTAATCATTGTACTGCAGAACTTACATTTGTCTCAGAGGTAAATTCTTGTCACACAAAACACCGAATGCGAGCCTCCATTCCATCCACCTCGCTCCAATATGATATGTGACGTCATCATCAGTCTCCTCATTATCTTAGATTACTGAAGGTACATAAAACTAGCTTTCATGGGGATGACGTGTGAGTCAAGCTTCACGTCCACATTCGCCTCATGAGTCACGTCGTTGAACTTGCACTCCAAGTATTCCATCTTGATCCTGCTCAACTTGAAACCTTTTGACTCTAGGGTTTGTCTCTAAACCTCCAACCTTGCGTTAACCCCACCTCGCGTCTCGTCAATCAGTAATATATCATCAGCAAACAACATCCACCATAGCACCTCCCCTTGAATGTGATGTGTCAAAACGTCCATCGCCAAAGCAAATAAAAAGGACTAAGAGTTGATTCATGATGTAACCCCATCTCAACTTGGAAGTGTTCTCAGTCCCCACCCACCGTTCTTACCTGAGTCTTGGCTTCATCATACATGTCCTTAATCACCCTAATGTAAGTAACAGGAACACGTCTGGAGGCCAGACATCTCTATAAGACCTCCCCGGGACTTTGTCATATGTTTTTTCTAGGTCGATGAACATCATATGAAGGTCCCTCTTCCTCTCTCTATACTGCTCCACCAATCTCCTAACGAGGTGAATTGCTTCCATAGTCGAACTCCCAGTCATAAATCTAAACTGGTTCTCGAAAATAGACACATTCATCCTCACCCTCGCTTCCACCATCCTCTCCCAAACTTTCATAGTATGGTTTAGCAGCTTGTTATCCCTATAGTTATTGCAATTTTGGATATCGCCCTTGTTCTGTAGAAGGGAAATATCATACTCCACCTCTATTCTTCAGACATCTTCTTCGTCCTAAAAATGACATTAAACAACCTAGTAAGTCACTCCACACCTTCCTTGCCCGCGTACTTCCAAAACTCCACTGAAATTCGTCTGCTCTACCCCTGCTCATCTTGCGTATAGCCCCCACAACCTCCTCAACTTTAATACGCCTACAATATCCAAAATCTCGATGACTCTCAAAGTGCTCCAAATCACCTAACACAATGTTCCTACAAGAGCTTATGGAAGTATGCCTGCTATCTTCGTCTTATAAGTGTCTCTTCCACCAATACTTTGCCGTCCTCATCTTTGATGCACTTCACTTGGTCCAGGTCGCGGAATTTGCTTTCTCTCACCTTAGCAACCTGTACAACTTCCTATCCCCACCTTTGGCCTCCAGTTCTTCATACAAAGTTTTAAAAGTATCAAATAGAACCAAAAGATTACGGCAACAAACTTCCATTATATAAGTCATGAAATAATTGATGACACCAATTACTAGATGCAAAAACCCAATAAGGATCTCGAGGCTCAAAAGCTCCCCAAATATCCTGAAATTCAATTTTCTTTCTCCATTAAGTAAATAGAACATGGCTTTTCCTGACCTCTTTAAAATAGCTCCCCCATCCCTTCTCGGAGAAATTTTAAAATGGAGCATCTTCAATTAATAGGATGAAGTTGCATGGCTAATCTGGCAATGGTATTTATTGGGACAAAGATGATAGGAGCCAACAACTTGTAATAGCCTGTATGGGACCTAGACAACCTTCTAGCTCAACATATCTATTAATTAACTACTACCTCTTTCTATACCCACCAGCACTAAGAATATCACAAGCAGGTCATTCAAAATGCTTGAAATGTAATGGCAAGTAGTTTGTTAAATCTTACCAACTATTCATTCGAATAAGAAATTGCCAAACTGGAACATTAATATCTTTCATTGGGAGGTAACTTAGTTCTCATTTACCGTGTGTCAGATACTATACCCATATATATTATGGTAGTATCACGGATTTATTTCTTATGCCTCAAAAGGCCTCTAGGGAGTTAGATATAATACAGAGAAATTTCCTATGGCCAGATTATCGAGAAAAGAAGGCTTACAATTTGGCTGAGTGGAAGACCGTCACAAAAAGCAAGAAACTAGGAAGGTTGGGGGTTAGAGAATTGAAGGCACTTAACAACGCAACAGTTTGATCTGCAAGTGGATTTAGAGGTACAATCAAGAAGAAAATGCTCTTTAGAGAGTCGTAATATGCACTAATTATGGACTTCTCAATCCCTGAATATCCAAATATGTTCCTCCCCCTCCCCCACTTGGTATGGGGAAACAAAAATTAGAGCCAAATGGGAATTTTCCTTTGTGAACTTTATTCTAAATGTAAGCGATGGTAGGAGCACAAGATTTTGGCATGATATTTGGCAATGGCTGGTTTGTCGAAAGGAATCTAAATAATTGGGAATTATACAGGTACCTATCCTTATTAGACATTCTAAGTTTAAGCATATATCCTCTGGTTTCTTTCAACTCTGATTATCTTTAATGGGCATCCAAAAAGCAACTTCTCTATTAGTTCTTGTACTCTATATCTACTCATACATCCCCTCAGAATGTCATATGGCCTTAGAAGATCATTTGGAAAGGTTTAGCCTTTCAAGGTGAAGTGCCTCTCTTGGTTGGTGGCCAAAGAGGCTTGTCTCATGCAAAGCAACCAGCAGAAAAGGGCTGCAGCTTTGTACCAGATGTCTCTTATGTGAAGAGCATATTGAACACCCATCTCTTCCTCCATTACAAATTACCAAAAAAAATTGGGATTTTATTCTTAACATCTTGGGAATTGATTGGTGTATGCCCAAAAAAGTCGTATCATTTTTGCCGTGATGGCACGGGAAAGGTACACAATGCTCTTCGAACAACAAATGGAAGACTATTCCAGCTATGGTGCATCTAGAAAGCAAGAAATAGAAGGTTGTTTGACGACAAAAAGAAAACTATTATACATGTCAAACACATTTTTTGGGGGCTTAATTTTTGGTGTAACATGGCTGATATAAATGTCTCTGACCCTACCACCATGTTTAACTTCATTTGCTCGTTGCATAATTTGTAAAGAGCTCATTTTGCCTTGTTTTTATGTTTCCTAGTAGTACCCGTATGACAATGTTGGTTCTTAATATACTCCATTTGTCCCAATTTATGTGGTGGTGTTTGATTGGACACGAAGTTTAAGAAAGAAGTGAAAATTTTTTAAACTTGTGGTTTAAAATAAGCCATAGGCACTCTTATAGCCCCTATTTGTATAGAAGATTGGGCGTCTTTTGTAGAGAATCATGATCTAATGTAAATTCTCTACTTTTTGGTATACTTCTTGTATACGGGAGTTCTCTCCCTTTTGATTAATACAATTTACCTTATCAAAAAACCATAGATATATGTACAGCTATAAATCATCTCATTAAGGGTAAATAAAAACTTTAAAGTCAAATTATTTCTAAATAAGGAAGTATGACATTCTTTTCGGCACAGACTAAAACAGAAAGTATGACACATAAATTGGGACAGAGAAAATAGAAGTTATCTTTACCGATTTAAAAACTAAAAAATAAACAGTTCAAAGTCTATTGCAAGTTAAATAGTAATCATAAACACTTAATAGTCGTCATAACAAAAGAGCAAAGTTTCTTTTCCCCTTCTTGAGCTACGTTCATTTTTTCCATATAAGGCAAATAAAATAACTAGGGAAACCCTATAGGCAAGCTGTACACCGAATTGCAGCGAATCCACAAAATAATATGGTTCTCTACAAAGAGGGTTCTTGATGCAAAAATTTGTAAGTACCTTTTAGCGCACAACAACGGATTCTTCAATGGTTTAGAGGGTGAACTTAGTCAAAATGAAGAAACCTGGTTTGTAGAGTTATCTAAGTGAAATATCAAAGGAACAAAAGCCCCAAAAATCCTGTAACAAAATGAAAAAAAAAATGAACTATTGTCGTCGGCAATTCTAGTTCTGTCAATTGGTGTTTTGCAGGAGCATCATTTATCTTTAAAAAGGACTAGAAAATTCCTATAGATTGATCCTCAGCATGTACCAGTCACACTCTGAGCACATTTATATGATCTCATAGAATGCAGTCCCCACCCTCAGCCCAACAAACAGGAAAATTAAAAACAGAAGGATCTCATGCTAAGACAAATGTAACCTGTAAGCATTCCTAATGAGCTAGGTTTTATTTCTCCTCTGGGGAGAGGGCCGGATGGCATAGGCATAGGTTAGTATCCATATATTCAGCTAATTCTACCACTGAAACCTGATTATAAGTTGCTCCAGAGCATAAAAATAACTGGTGATGTGATTCTCTTCTGCCTATCCTTATTTTTTTTAGACTGCTCTTCTGTCTATCCTCATTGGGGCACATAATGGAGCATTCAAGATTAGACCATGAAATCGGTTAATACAAGTTCTAAAGGTGCAGTATTTCATGTTCTCTCCTGATTGCTGATACCCAATACAGCAGTTTTGGCAGGAAAAACAGCTATCCCTAGAGTAGAAGTGAACTTTATTAGGGAAAATCATCCAACCTAACAGGCACCTATTTAGACATGAGACCACAACCCCACAATCTATAATGTACCAACCCCTCACTTATGTAGAGTCTCACACTTCAAGATCACAAAATCGAAGCCAAGATATGAGACAAACAGTTACTGAGAAACACTAGCTAATTAGATACAAAGTAACTCTTACTACAGAGGAAAAGATAAGCTATGGATTGCGATGAGCCACAAGAGGAATTCCAAGATGATCAATTTAATGATAAATTATCAAACTGATAGTAATAGAAAGGCAAAAGTAGAAGCGGATGATTGCACTACCTAACATAAGCAGGCATATCTAAGCATTTCAGCAAAACTTACCTGTTTTTCAGCCATGTACTTTTTACCATGCTCAACATTCTCCAGCAAATCCCTCTTGAGCTCTACTTTAACATCCTCACGCCATTTCTTCCAACCATGATGCAAATGGAGGCTAACGGCCTTTGGAACTACGACCTCCCTGTTTCCAAACATCCACTTTAATTCAATCTCAGGGAAACCCTTAACAACTTCATCCACTGGCGTGTTTACAACAAAACGTTTTTCATCACCATATCTGTTCAATTTTTTCTTAATACGACTGTCGAGACTCTGTTGCATCTCTCTGGAGTTCTTAAGTGTTTGTTCTATTCGCTGAGCAAATACCATAGAGTCTTGATCAAAAAGGAGTACATTCTCTTCATTTTCCAAAACACTGGGTAGAGTTATCTGCTCTAATAATTGTCTTTGGGCAGTTTGCAGCTCTTCTTTTATCTCAGATCTAGAAAGCTTGGTGAGAGAGTTTTTAGGCACACTGCAAACACATAGAACACAAGTATATTAAATGATTGGAACAATATAGTTCACAAACAATATCAGATAGCAAGTTTTGTTACAAATAGTATTAGACAAAACTAACCTCTTCTAAAGAACAAAAGGATATCTACAGCCTACAAGAATAACGTGCTAAATGTCAACTATTTAGTCACCAGCATAAAGTAGAATAGCTGACCAGGGAACAAGTAAAATTGGAGATGGACTTAAATTCTAGCTAATATAATAGCAAACTAAGCAATAAAATGTCTAGATGAGGTATTCCAGGAAAACACCAGAACAATTTACAAGGTTAAATCCTCAAAAGAAAGAAAAAACAATCAGTTCACAACAGAGCTATATGTTTTAGGTGCCAACTAAATTAGTACGTGCACAGGGGCAGTTGCATCCCAGATTTTCCCTGAACCTGAGTGCACAGATAAAACAAAAGAGCTCCATGCCAAATTCATGCCAATATCAGGTGTTAGATTAAAAGAAGCACAGCTGCTTTGCTATCATTACTTGTAGCAAAGACCTAAAATTTCAATATTGTCTTACCTCGTGATACTTTCCAGCCTCATTTTCCTTAGAAACTCCTTGACCAAGATTTCACACTCCCTCTCAATAGATGCAAGCTCCCTCGCAGCAATGCTCAATGCAAGTGTTTCTCTCCTCATAATCTCATCATCTATCTCAGCAATCCTTTCCCACAATCCATTATATTCCTCCTCACTCTGTCTCACGTCCTCATCCAATATCGCAGCTTTTCCCTTTACTACTGCATCTTCATTGCCCTTAGCCTTCTTCAATAAACTTTCCTCCTCCCTCTTAATCTTCAGCACTACATCAATAATCTCCTCTGAACGCTTGACCAACACGCCTTTTTCTCCATTTAATAATCTCAGTTCCACATAGAGACCGTTCATGATCTCCTCTTGCAACTCCTTCCTCTTCATCTTCACATCTTTTAGCTTTCCCTCCACACATTTTACATCCTCTTTACCGGACTTCACCTTCTCTATCACTTTAAGCAAACCCGAGACCGTCTCTAACAATCTCTTAGTACAATGTGAATATACATGTCTAGTGCCATCCTTCTCTTCCCCTTTACTACTACCTTTCTTTTTTGTTTTGTTAATCAGCTCAGCTGCGGCGGGCGGAGCAGCGATAGCAGGAGGCAATTGAAATCCTAGAATGGGGCAGAATGCAAAAGCAATAGAGAATAATGTGTAGACTAAAGGCTTTACAATGGGTTTCAGAGGATTTTGGTCATCATTATACCTATCTGGTATAATTGTGTCTTTTTTGGTGATAGAACACTCTAGAAGAAGTCTAGCTGGAGCTGAAGTTATAGGAAGTGGAAGAGAATTTTTGGGTTTATCTCCTTCACAGGAAGATTTAATAGGAAATTTTTTCAAGCGGATTCGGTTATTAGGGCGATAGAAGAATGGATTTTGAGGAGTAGGGGAAGTGAAGAATGGAGTAGTAGTAGCAGTAGTATACATAATAGGGCGGTGATGAAGGCTAAGACGTTGGTGTTATAGCGCATGAAATTGGGAGAGTAGTACCATTTCTGAGAAAGTTGAAGAAGAAGGATAAGACCGCTGGGGTTTTAACCAGAGAAAGAGCCGGCGAGCAAAGTTAATTGGGGATTACAGCAAAAGGGTGCTCATATTTTTTCTTCCCCCTCCATTCTTCTCCTCTTTTTTGCAAATTATCCTTCTTTTTTTCCTCTTTTTCTTTCCCTTTTTGAACTTTTTCTATTTACTTTAATGAGTATACAATTATTAAAAAAACGGAAAAGGGCTAAATATACCCACTCTACTTTCAAATATTATTTACTTGTACCCTTCGTTATACTATTGGGTTATCCATACCTCTACCGTCATACTTTGGAACAAAAATACCCCTATTGTCATACTTTGAAACAAAAATACCCCTGTTTTGGATGGAGTGTCACGTGGCAACACCAGATTAAAACGACCCATTTTTTTACCCGATCCATTTTTAAAAAACCCACAACCCGACCCCTATTTTCATTTTTTTCTAGTTTTTTTTTTTTAAATTTCAGTGTTTAAAAAACGAAAATATTTTGTTAAGAAACAAAACAAAAAAATCTGTTTTTACAAATTTGTTTTTCCAGTTTTTACAATACAAAATTCTTTTAAAAAACTGAAAAAATAATGTTTTCAGTTTTTAAAAAACGAAAATATTTTGTTATAAAACGAAAATATTTTTTTTTGTTTTATCTCNCAAAATATTTTCGTTTTTTAAAAACTGAAAACATTATTTTCAACAAAATATTTTCGTTTTTGAATTTTTTTTTCATTTTTTCAGTTTTTTTAAAGAATTTTGTATTGTAAAAACTGGAAAAACAAATTTGTAAAAACAGAATTTATTTTGTTTTGTTTTTTAACAAAATATTTTCGTTTTTAAAAAAATGAAATTTAAAAAAAAAATGGAAAAAAATGAAAATAGGGGTTGGGTTGTGGGTTTTTTTAAAAACGGATCGGGTAAAAAAAAGAAATGGGTCGTTTTAATCTAGTGTTGTCACGTGGCACTCCATCCAAAATAGGGGTATTTTTGTTTCAAAGTATGACAATATGGGGTATTTTTGTTTCAAAGTATGACAATAGAGGTATTTTTGTTCCAAAGTATGATGGTAGGGGTATGGATAACCCAGTAGTATAACGAAGGGTACAAACAAACAATATTTGAAAGTAAAGGGATATATTTAGCCCTTTGCCGTTAAAAAAATCACATAATTGTTATGCATTGAAACAATGTGTTTGGGTTTTAATATAAATTTAAAAAAAATAAGTTTCCAAAAACGATCAATATTAATCCCATTTTGCTAGTTCAACAAAGAAAGAAATCATGCCCCATAGATCCTTATAACCTAATACTAAAAATAAATAAAACATAACACCAAATACTTTTATTACGATTTGTTAAATAACACAAATTTAAGATTTTAATATTTTGATTTTTTAGATATTTGGTAATGAAGTGATTGGCCTTATAGCTCCTACCAAAAAAAATGGTAAGGGACAATATAAAGTTGTCACGACTCGAAATTCTATCGGAGTCGCGATGGCGCCTAACACTGCTTGCTAGACAAACCAACAACCAATACGTATAAATAAATTTCAATAACAGTATTAAGTAGTCTCAACTACAGATTAATGTAAATAAATGAAGTCAAAATAGCGATATAACTGAAAATCGTCCCAAAATCTGGGTCACCAAGTACATGAGCTCTATAGAATAAGTAAATACAAAGTCTGAGTCAAATATAACATTGTCCGAAAAGACTAAACAGTGATAACATGAAATAAAGAAAGGAACTTCAAGGCCTGCGAACGAAATAGAAGTGCTACCTCGAAATCTCCAACTAGTCCGGATCCGGTTCACGGGCAACTACCACGATCAATGATCTACATATGAAGTGTAGAGTATAGTATAAGTACAAGCGACCCCATGCATTCAATAAGCAGCAAACCTAACATCGGGATGAAAGTAGTGACAATCCTGCCAAGGTCCGTTGCTTACTTTCCACAGCCAACAACAACAATAACAGCAGAATAAAAGCATATAAGGGAGAAGTAGCTCAGATAATAACATCTTCAACTCTAAAACAATAAAAGAGAAATAGACATGCTTTTCAGGAATATCAGTTAAGGCATCAGCTTTTTCCATATAAAACACTCAGACAGAGATTTATCAAGATAAACTATGGTTTTCAAGCTTAAACATCAAGTGGAGACATCAAACACCAAATAGCATGAGAAAAACATAACTTTATACCTGCATATCAAATATACATGCCAAATCAATAATTCCACGGTTAAATCATCACATAGACACAAACTCAGCACATTCATAGTGTCTAACACAAGTATCCCTTAATCATACTCTTAGCACTCTCACGATGCCTGGCAAATTGCCCTTGGATTGTATCATACACACACACACACAATCAGCACTGTACGAGGCATAAGCCCTTCACTAAGCACATATTACTCCGGGGGCAAAGTAACATGGGTTATCACCTGACTCTAGAGAGGCAGATCCTAGTCCAAGTATTGATCAGATCTAAGTCAACGGTCAATATCACTCAGCCCAATATGGGGCCTAGTATACGCGTCACCTCTTATGGGGACTAGCGTACATGTCACCTCACTATCAATATCAACACGACTTTATTACTCAAGATCAGTTATCAATCTGCTCAAGTCTCGGTATGCCAACATCTCACAGAAATATAATTCAATATACCACACGAAATATACCAACGTGTTACCTTTCAACTCAAACTCGTGTCCCGCACAAGGATACCAACAACATGTGAGATAATATATAAAAACTATATAGAGATAGAGATATAACACATGGATATAATATCATGACTGAAAAGTATGACTATGGCTAAGGCAAATAGCTCAACATAGCAAAAATAGCCCTATCACGCCTCAACAAATAAGCAAATAGCCTAGATATGATCTCTAGCATGAATAACAACTCACGTAGTCATACAAATTGAGAAAATGCGATATCAAAGAAGCACGATAGCTAAAGAAGGCATATAATAACCTGAGATCTACTGGGATCATAAATAACCACGGTGCACACATATACGCTCGTCACCTCGCATATATATTACCCCCAATATAAGACTTGGACTAGGTAAGCCAACATGAAATAAAGATGCAAAACAGCGAAACAAGATATAACATGGCCAAAATAACATAAATAGCGAAATAAATCTTCAACAATAGCTAATACACAAATACCATAATATCAAATTCTCAAAACCAGGTAGTATAGAGTCATGAGCTTTACAACCGAATATAAGGAGATGTCTCAATAGTAAAATATTGTCTAAATATATGAATAATAGTATGAAGATAAAGGAAGGTGACTCTAAGGGTTTGCAATGATCATGCAACACTACCTTAAATCCTCTCTATTAGCAAACAATGCTCACTCCTAAGATCCGCTACTGCCAACGTCCGAATCTACACAAAATGTGCAGAAGCGTAATATGAGTACGGGATAACGTGTACTTAGTAAGTATCAAGACCAACTTTGGTGGAGTAGTGACGAGGTTAAAATCACGTTATACTCACTAATCAAGAATCTGTGCAATTATAATACTCACAACAAGAATATAACAAGATGTAATAGCATCACTACCAAACCAAGAGATATCAACTCATTATAGATAAATCAACCTTGACAATCGAGTCATCTACAAATAATAGAGGCATATAGTAGCATGTTAAAATTCAACATAAAAGCTCACAAAATGCCTAATAAGGCATAAAGGATTCACTTGCATGGTCAAAGCTTCCACATTTATGCTTAAAATTCTCCATCATCGGATTCTATATTAGAATCCACCAACATTAGTCAATTTACCATAATCTTCGTGTACGCCATTAAGAAAGAAACATAAGAGGGCAAACCTAGGGGTGGATCCAAATCCACACGTTGCACAATATAATATACTCATGCAAAACAGTAACACTATCATTATAGTTGCACGGCAAAGACCTTGTGCCACAACACCACAATATGTGCATGGAAGAGACCTCGTGCCAACACCAAACTAATCCGCTCAATATGTTCATATGTGCTATAATCATAACAATATAAGATACCAATTTATCATAAAGAGACCTATGCTGACAATTCATCAATAAGGTGCACAAGGACATAATAATAATAATAACAATAATAAAGTGTGGATATGTGCTCAAGATGTGAGATATGACTACGGCTAAATCAGTTATACCAATAATTTCATAATTGCCCATCTTGGCTAATTAGGAGATAATAATCCTAAACATGATCTCTAGTATGAAAGGATAAGTTTACGTAGTCATACAAACAATTAAACATATATCATAGAGCACACAATCAAAATAAGGCATAATAGAAGATCAAAGTCTAATCGGGTCATAAATCACACATAGCACACGCATATACACTTGTCACTCGCATACACGTTGCTTTTCACACATTACAATTAGACAAATAGGGTCAAATCCTAAGGGTTATTCCCTCACACAAGATTAGACAAGAAACTTACCTTAGCAAGCCCAAATCAACCTTCAAAAATCACCTTTCCCTTAGAAACCACCTCTAACTGTCTCGAATCTAGTCAAATACAACTAAAAAACATCAAACAAGGTCATAAGAATCAATTCCAAACAATAAAGTTTCAATCTTTGATCAACCCCCCAAAAGTCAATAAAAGTTAACTCGGGTTTATATGATAAAAATCGAGTCAAGGAGTAGATCCCAACTACCCATAACCCTACGAGTCCAAATATGTATTTCGTTTTCAAATCCAAGTCCAAATTTTAGCTCAAATCCTTAATTTTTCCTCTTTTAAGTTGTGAGAAACCCCCCTAAATTTACCTCAAAATCCATGTTTTAGGTGTTATTAATGCATGTAGATTTTAAAAATAATATTAAAAATAAGTAAAAATCACTTACCCCAAAGTCTTGTGTGAAAATCTCCAAGCAAAATCGCCCATCTCCAAGTCTACGGTTCAAAATACGAGAATGGACTAATATCCCGAAATACAAAACTTAGATATTCTGTTCATGAGTACTCTTCCCAAGAGCGGTCCATACCTTGCATGCGCAAAACAAAAAAATGCTTCTGCTTGAAATTCCTCTTCCC